TTAAGGTCACCTATGGCTTTGAATTACAGCTTTGAGGAATTTCCAATTTAGTCATCAGAAAAGAAGAAGCCAAAATAAGGATCAGATACTTTGCCAGAGGGAGGATAGACTTTTACTTCATCATAGTTGGGTGATCTAATAATTTGGAAATAGTAAACAAAACAAAACAAAGAAAACAAAAATAGTCATCCCAAATATTCATCGGGTAGAGAGACTTGTGGAACAAGAACCATGGATGAACGATTTCTATGCTAATTATTCCCGCAGCTAATAAATTTTTTTTTCTTGTTAAGATTCAAAGGATGTTTACCTTATCATATGATAAAAATGTAATATATAGACTATAACCGACCGGCAATAAACAGAATTGGTTATATAGATATGTACTGTTTGAACAAGACTTATATTTATTTATTCAGATGAATATATTTTCAAATAAGATATTGGGAAGCAAATGGATGGATGTAAATAGTGCTTTTGAAAATTATAACCTAAAAGCAATGTATATGTATAAATGTGTGTTTGTGTGTATGCATCTATATTCACAAAAAACCTAAACTACTTGATAATTAGACACTCTGGAGAATGCGTAAATGATTTTTTAGCCAAAGAAAAAAATGTTTTACAGTTTTCTGTATTTTTGCTGTCTGTGGCAGGCAGAGACAACTTTTTGCATTTTGACCCGGACTGTAGATTAGTGAGAGGACATGTATGGCTAGGTGATGGCCTGCAGCACAGAGCTCTGAGAATTGGGCAGGGGCTTCTGTGGATGATATTTTCCAGTGCTTCACTGCCTCAATAGGTGGTGTAATAGAATGAGTTCAAGCCCAGGAAAAATAAGGCTTGAGTTCTAATTCCACTATTTTCTATGAGTAAGTCATTTAATTGAATTATGTCTCAGATTCTGCACTCAGTTTAAGAAACACAAACACTGATTGAGCTATTTCTGTATTCCAACTATTTATGAGACACAGGATTTCTAATTCCTAAAGAGGCACTTTCAGCATTATATGGTAAATGAAATAGCAATATAGGCTCAGGGTGCTATAGGAGCTGAGGCCTATCACCCTGTTTCTCACCAGTTTGTTATACTCTATGGAGTCTCTCTGAAAGAAGACACAGTGCTGCCCTTCCCACCTGCCTCACAGGTGTGTAGCAGAAACAATGTGACACTGGTGAATGGCTCTCATGAAAGCTCTGAAGCGCTGCATTGCTCTTGGTGGTAGTTGTGCAGGTAAGTAGTAGAGATGATGGTAACAGTGAAAGAGAAATAAGTCATAAATTAAGAGGAGAGTTAAAATGAATGGAAAGACTGACCAAGGGACAATGGAAATTCCAGAAAGGCAAGTGCAAGTGTGGAATCAAGAAGGCATCTCAAATCACCAGGAAACACACAGACTTAATAAATGAGATTGCGTAACTTGATAGTGATTTGGAAAAAGAGAGGCAATTGGGTTTATTCTTAAAACCTATTCTTTAAAAAACTTTTTTGTATTTGTTCTAATTAGTTATACATGACAGTAGAATGCCTTTTGACACATTATACATAAATGGAGTATAACTTCTCATTCTTTTGATTGTACGTAATGTAGAGTTACAGGGGTCCTGTAATCATATATGCACACAGGGTAATGATATTCAATTCATTCTACTATCAGTCTTAACCCCCTACCCCTTCCCTCCTTTCCCTCCCCTCTGTGTAATTCAGAGTACCTCTATTCTTCCCTAGCAGCCTCTGCCCTTATTGTGAATTAGCATTCTCTTAGCATGATATTCTCCAGTTCCATCCATTTACCTGCAAATGCCAAATTTCATTCTTCTTTATGGCTGAGTGATATTCCATTGTGTATATATACCACAATTTCTTTATCCATTCATCTATTGAAGGGCATCTAGGTTGGTTCCACAGTTTAGCTATTGTTAATTGAGCTGCTATAAACATTGATGTGGCTACATCATTGTAGTATGCTGATTTAAAGCCCTTTGGGTATAAACCAAGGCGTGGGATAACTGTGTCAAATGGTGGTTCCATTCCAGGTTTTCTGAGAAATCTCTATACTGCTTTCCAGATTGGCTGCACCAATTTGTAGTCTCGCCCATGATGTATGAGTTACCTTTATCCCCACATCCTTGCCAACATTTATTGTTGCTTGTATTCTTGATAATTGACATTCTGACTGGAGTGAGATGGAATCTTGGAGTAGTTTTTATTTGCATTTCTCTAATTGCTAGAGATGTTGTACATTTTTTCATATGTTTGTTGATCGATTTTGTATCTTCTGTTAAATGTCTGTTCAGTTCCTTAGCCCATTTATTGATTGGGTTATTTAATTTTTTGGTGTTAAGTTTTTTTGAGTTCTTTATTTATCCCAGAAATTAATGATCTATCTGAGGTGCATGTGGCAAAGATTTCTCTCCCATCCTGTAGGCTATTATGTAATTTCTATTGGGTCAGAGGTGTAGAGATAGAAAAAAAAATAAACCCCCATATAGTCTGAGTTTAAAAAATGAACAAAGTACTTGAATAGACATTTCATCAAAGAAGATATAGATGGCTAATAAGTACATGCAAAGATGTTCAACACCACTAACCATTAGGGAAAATCAAATCAAAAGCACAATGAGATACACCACACACTGTCAGGATGACCACCATTAAATGAACATGAAATACCAAGTGTCAGTGAAGATGTAGAGAAATTGTGGAGAATTGTTAATGGGAATGTAAAATGGTGCAGCCATTTTGGAAAATGGTGTGATGATTCCTCAAAAAACTAAAAGCAGAATTACCACATGATCTAGGAATTCTATCCACTTGTGAGTATATAGCCCCCAAAATTCAAAGCAGGATCTTGAAGTATTTGTATACTGATGTTCCTGACAGCATTATTTACATTACCCAAGAGGTGAAAGCAATCCAGGCGTCCACTGACATTGATGAATGCATAAAGAAAATTGAGGTATATACATACATGGAATATTATAAATAGCCTTAAAAAGAAGGAAATCCAATCACATGCTACAAAATAGATGAAAGTTGAAGATATAAGGCTAGGCAAAATAATTCAGTCATCAAGGGACAAATACTATAAAATTATAGGAAATATTTAAAGTAGTTAAAAATCATAGAAACAAAAATAGAAAGGATGTTATCAAGGGCTGGGAGGAGGATGGGAAATCCTATCTAGTGGATACAGAAATTCAGTGTTGTAAGATGAAAATTTCTAAGGAATTGTTACATTGTATTGTTTAGGGATCTAATATTCAGTACAGATCTCATATTTTTTTCCTGAATGGACTAGTGGATTTAGGCAAAAGCTGTCAATAGGTGCTCATACTGCAAAAGCAAAGTCATTATTATGTCTCTGGATTGAAGTAGGTAATGACATCACTAGAGTATTTCACCAAAAACAACAACAACAACAACAACAACAAAACTAGAATCTGATCAAGTATCTGGTTCTATTAGAAAATTTACAAGAAATACAGAGAGGAAAATTTTGTTTAATGACACCTGTGGATGTGATCATCAAAATCCACTCTACAGTAAAGGTTCTACAGAATGGTCAGGTTTCTTAAAAAAAAAAAATAACTTAAGACACAGGGATGCATGAGTAGCACATATAGCTCAAGGGACATATTTGATATTTGGAATGTATGAGCCTTATTTGGATTTTATTTGGACAAACCTTGAAACAAACAAAAAACTCCAATACTTATATTGTTTATCATTTAATAGATATTTAATATATTTAATAAAAATATTAAAACAAGCAGAGAGATTTTAGCAATGATGAGATAGATAGATAGTTGACGGTGTTGAATTCTTTCTGCACTCCTTTGTTCATTTCAGCCCTTTTCTTGACAGCCAAGGAATGGAAGTAACCTAAGTGCCCATCAATTAATGAATAGATAAAGAAAATATGAAACACAGATATCATGGAATACCATGCAGCAAAAGAAAAGAATGAAACCCTGTCACCCGTGACAACACAGATGGAACTGGAGATTATTTCCAGTGAAGTAAGCCAGGCACAAAAAGACAAATAACCCACAAGCTCAGTTGTATGCAGAATCTTAAAAAAAAAAAAAAGTCAACCTCATAGAAGTTGAGAGTAGATGGTACCAGAGTCTGGGGAGAGCTGAGGGAAAAGGAGGGATGGGGAAGGTTGATCAATGGGAATAATTTACACTTAGGACTAAAAAGTTCTGTTGCTCTATTGCAGAGTAGGGTGACTATAGATAGCAGCAATTGCTGACCATTTCTAAAAACTAGAAGAAATGACTTTAATGTTTTTGCCATAAAGAAGTGATGAATGTTTGAGGAGACAAGTACACTTAACATAAATTCAAACATTACTCAATATAGGCCTATATCAAACATCACATGGTACCCACAAATATGTACAATTTTTATCATTTGATGTATCAGTTAAAAATTAAAAAAAGAAATTTCCTCTGTCCACAAATACTTATATGGATATGGGTGTTCGAATAATAAGGACTTTGTGATTGTTTTTAAAATGTATTTTACTTTTATGTATATATACATTCCTATAATATGTAATATATATTATATATAATATGTAATATATATTATTGTACTTTAATTATATATGAGGTATATAATTAAAGTACACTAATAAAATTCTATAAAACTTAGTTTTGCTTCAAATTACAGGGTTGGATAGAACAAGGGTGAGTGGAGATGAGGAGATCATTGCTGAAGCTGAGAGCAAGGTGGGTGGGGTTCATACATGATTCTTTTCTACTTTTATTTATATTTGAAATATTCCAATAAACTGAAGCTGTTTCAACAAGGAAAAAAAGAAGAGAGAAATTATAGATGTTCTTGCAGATTCTATGGCTATCAATTGTAGTAATTAGCAGAATCTTCAAATTCAATAAGTTGAAACAAGTTACAGGAAATTAAAGATTAAGGAGCTATAGTGAAAACAACAACAACAACAAAAGCTCAATGCAGACTGTGATTTACTTACATTTTTCTGGTTGATAAATGAGGTTACAGTACATCATATGAAGAGTTATCAGAGCCATGAGTGTAGACATAATAGGAATAAGTAAAACAAGGGTCCAGGCCCCTGAGTGCTGGATGTAAGATATTCCCAGGAAGACAACAGTTGCATTTAGGTTCATGAGCCAATAAAACCTGGGAGACACAGAGAGGCACAAATAAAACAGCATTGAGTTACTTCAGATTTAACAGTTGCTGATTTTAATGCTTTTATTAAAATGTAAGTATTAACTGGTGGCATGTTAGCATGAACCAGATTTTGCAAATATTGTTTATTAGATTTTTAAGAAGTGTATACATATCAATCTGTCTTATCTGTTTCATTATCCTTGCTTTATTTCTCTTTAGAATAGATATAATAAGAGTATACACCCTTGTATCTAAATTGGAGCTCAAAAAACTTTTTCTGTAAAGTGCTTTAAAGAGAGAAAATACTTGAATTAACTGTGGAACTGAAGAAGCTTAGAGGATTTCCTGCCCAGTCACTGGAATACCCCTCAGGAGCCCGGAAAATGTCTAAAGCTTAGAGATGAACGTTCCTGTATCTTCTGGTTTTCACAGCACAAGGAGACAGAGCAGTGGTGAGGGGCGGCCTTGGTGGTCATGAACTTAACGTGAGCATAGTGTGAGAATAGTGCATGCGACCTTGCATTCTGTGCTGTGTCTGGGGCTGTGTGAGCCCAGCTGTGAAACACCAAGGAGGTGGATTCAACCAAGACTGTTTCCTCCACTGCACAGGAGAGTATCACACAGTGAGAGGAGGGGAACCGAGGGATGGAAGATGAGGAATCCGATGGCTGATTGACTGAAGACCAGCCCAACCTTATACATTCTCATTCACCTGGTGGTTGGGAATGGAGACAGCCCCGCTGCTGCACCCAGCTGCCATCACCACGCGGGTGCATTAGAGCGCCTCCACTGGGCGAGGGTGGAAGAGCAGCTCCTCACTTGTCCACCAACACCACCTTGGTGGGAAATCAGCGGCCCCCTGGCTTTTGCAGGTGTGTGTGTAGAATACTAGAATCCCCCTCATCTTTGCTTAAAGTATAAGGGACAGTGAAGGACGGTCAGTTTATTTCAGAGTATTTTGCCAGAGCAGGGCAAGTATTGCAAAAAAAAAAAAAAAAAGTTTCTCCTATATCAGGGACCCTTTCCTAGTTCTTTGACTAAGGGGAGCAGGCTTTTCTGGGAGTTCCCTCACGCTCTGGCTCTTGTCTCTCTCAGCTGGTTGGTTGCTCCTGGTCCAGCCTTCTCCATTGCCCCAGCTTAAGAGAAAAAAAAATACCATGAGACTCACTGCCATCTTTGCTCAAGTTCCAAGGTTCCTAGGCAGCATCTGTCCTCTTTCTACCTTTCAGAATCTTCCTATATTTGTTTTCTGTGTTACATGTAATATTTTTTTTCCTTTTCCCTGTGAGAAGGAGTACCAAGAAAAAATGGAGCCATAATGGAATCTTCCACTTTGTTGAACTGTATAATCTGTCTTCCTATTATTGATGTGTAAAAGTTTTTCATATATTCTGGATGCAAATATTTCATTATATATGTTCTACAAATATTTTCTTATAATCACAAATTGCCTTTTCATTTTCTGAATGACAACTTTGGATAAGCAAAACTTTTAATTGAAAATAATCCAATTTGATTTTTTGGGGGGGTCTTTGGTTCATACTTTTTGTGTCCTATGTAAACAATACAGTTTACACCTGGGTCATAAATATTTTCCATTACAACTTTTAAAATTAGTTTTTCGGTTTTAGAACTTATATCAACTCAATGATCCACTTTGAATTTTTTCAGTAGGTGATATGTGTTATTTGTTTCCTATATGGAATTTCAGTTATTCTGTAACAATTTATTGAAGAGATGGTCTTTACTTCATTGGTTTATTTGACATCTTCATTAAAAATTAATTGATAATATAAATGTAGGTCTATTTTCTGACTCAATTCTATTCTACTAATCTATTTTTGTGCCAATACTATACTATTTTGATTACTGTTGTTTTTTCTCTCTCTTTTTTTTGTTTTAAGAGTTTTATTGAGATATAAAATTGAACTGCTTTATTTAAAAAATTAATATATTTATATATGTATATACAATTATTGCTTTATTTAAAAATATTTATATATGTATATACATTTATATATATATAATTGTATATACATATATAAATATTTTTAAATAAAGCATGTATATAAATATATGTATATGTATATACATATATAAGTATTATATGTATATACATATATATAAATATTTTTAAATAAAGCAGTTCAATTTTATATATGCATATATAAATAAAGCTCTTAAAACAAAAAAAGTGAGAGAAAAACAATAGTAATCAAAATAGTATAGTATTGGCACAAAAATAGATTAGTTTTATACTATATATAACTATACTATATATAATTGTATATCCAGATATGTATATTTTATATAAAGGTATAATTTGATAAGTATTGACATTATGTACCCATGAAATCATTACCACATTCAATATAAGGAACATATCTATCACTCCAAAAAATTCCTCAAGACACTTTTGAATGCAATTCATTTCATATTACACATATAGAGCACAATTTTTCAAGTCACTGATTGTACACAAAGTATTTTCACACCATTCATATCTTCATAAATGTACTCAGGGTAATGATGTCTAGCTCATTCAACCATCATTCCTACCTCCTGACCCCCTCCCTTCCCTTCCTTCCTCTTTGCCCTATCTGAAGTTCCTTTATTCCTCCCGAGCTTCTCTCCTATTGCCATTATGAATCACATATATCCTCATATCAAAGAAAACATTCGGCCTTTGGGTTTGGGGGATTATTTTATGTTAGCATTATATTCTCCAACTTCATCCATTTACCTGCAAATGCTATGATTCGATTCTCTTTTAATGCTGAGTAATGTTCCATTGTGTATATCTACCAAAGATTCCCTATCCATCCATCTACTGAAAGGCATCTAGGTTGGTTCCATAATTTAGCCATTGTGAATTGTGCTGCTATAAACATCGATATGACTGTGTCTCTGTAATATGCTGTTTTTAAGTACTTTGGGTATAAACTGAGGAGTGGGATAGCTGGGTCAAATTATGTTTCCATTCCAAATTTTCCAAGGAATCTCTATACTGCTTTCCAGATTGGCTGCACCAATTTGCAGTCCCACCAGCAATGTATGAGTATGCCTTTTCCCCCACATCCTCGCCAACACTTATTGTTGTTTGTATTCTTGACAACTGCCATTCTGACTGGCGTGAGATGAAATCTTAGAGTGGTTTTGATTTGCATTTCTTTAATTGCTAGAGATGTTGAACATTTTTTCATGTTTGTTGATTGGTTGTATAACTTCTGAGAAGTGTCTGTTCAGTTCCTGGGCCCATTTATTGGTTAAGTTTACTTATTTTTTTAGTGTTAAGGTTTTTAACTGCTTTATGTACCCCAGAGATTCGTGCTCTATCTGATGTGCTTGTGGTAAAGATTTGCTCCCATTCTGTAGGCTCTCTATTCACCTCACTGATTGTTTCTTTTGCTGATAAGAAACTTTTTAGTTCAAATCCATTCCATTTGGTACAGAAAAGAGGACACAGAATCTAATCCACATAACTTCAGTTATTTTATATTAGAAAAAGGTGCCAAAAATGTACATTGGAGAAAAGATAGCCTCTTCAACAAATGCTGCTGGTAAAACTGGAAATACACATGTAACAAAATGAAATTAAACCTCTATCTCTCACCATGCATAAAACTCAACTCAAAGTGGATCAAGGACCTAAGAATTAAACCAGAGATCTTGCGCCTAATGGAAGAAAAAGTAGGCCCAAATCTCCATTATGTCAGATTAGGCCTCAACTTTCTTAATAAAACTCCTGTAGTGAAAGAATTAAAATCAATACACTTTTTAATCTGCTTCTACCTCTTCTTACCACCTTGTCCCCATCTCCACTGATATTTTTTCTGTCATCACCAATGAGATTGCAATTTAGACACATTTTGTGGTGGAGGGAGTATGGTGGAGAGGTAAATTGAATGCTACCTTTCTGTATTTACTATTTGGCTTCTTTTACTTAGCATGTTTATTTTGAGAATCACAAAGGTGATTCTCTTAGTTTGTTGTATTTATGAATAGGCCATTCTTTTTTATTGACAAGTTGTATTCTGTTGTGTAAATATAGTGCTTTCTATTAATTCATATGTTGATAGATATCTTTTCTAGCTCATGGCTATTTTTTTTTTTTTTGGTACCAAGGATTGAACTCAGGGGAACTCAATCACTGAGCTACATCCCCAGCCCTATTTTTGTATTTTATTTAGAGACAGGGTCTCACTGAGTTGCTTAGCACCTTGCTTTTGCTAAGGCTGGCTTTGAACTTGAGATACTCCTGCCTCAGCTTCCTGAGCTCCTGGGATTACAGGCATGTGCCACTGATCCTGGTTAGCTCATGGATAGTAAGAGTAATGCTATCATGAACTTTCATGGGCAATTCTTACTATAGACATAGACATTCATTTTGTGGGGATTAGATACCTCAAAGTGGAATAGCTGGCATTATGTAGATACATATTTAACATTTTAGCAAGTTTTGTTTGTTTCTTTTTTTTTTTTTTTTACATACCAGGAATTGAACCCAGAGGTGCTTAGCACTCACTGAGCCACATCCTCAGCCCTTTTTTGTATTTTTTATTTGGCATCAGGATCTAAGTTATTTAGGGCCTTGCTAAATTGTGAGGCTGGCTTTGAACTACCATCTTCCTGTCTCAGCCTCCTGAGCAGCTGGGATTGCAGGCATGCACCACCATACCTGGCTCATTTTAGGAAGTTTCAAAGTGGTTTCAAGTAGTTGTAATGGAGATGTATGTGAGAGTTCTTATCCTTCTATGCTGGGTATGGCAAATTTACATTCATGTCTTGTGGTTGTACTGTGCATTTCCCTAGTGACATTGAACATCTTTTCAAGTGCTGATTGGTTATCGGTGCATCTTCTTTGATGATGTTTTCTGTTCAAACATTTTGCCCATCAAAAAATTGTGTGGTTTACTTTTTTGTTATTCGGTTTTAAGAGTTCTTTAAACATATAAGGATATAAGTCCTTTATCAAATATGTGACTTGCAAATGTTTTCTTCCAGTC